TGGGACAGGCTGCCTGCGCCTCCCTGCCATTGCAGCTGCTTTCGGGGGGAACGCAGGCCCGGGACGGCAGCCCCCGGCTCCCCGCAGCTCCCAGCTGATGCTGCACCCTCAGCGCAAGCAGCCCTCCCCTGCCACGGAAGGCTCCTGGACCCAGGCGTGGGAGGGCTGCCCTGCTGGGATCGGGGCCTGGCTGGGCTGCTAGCTTTACAGGCGCCCAGCCTGACTGGTGATTTGCTCAGGGGGTGTCCCCACCCCTCGGCCCACCTGCTTGCCAAGAGCTGGCCCCCAGCCACAGGGAACAGTCCCAATAAAGCACAGCAGGAGAGCCGCTCGCAACGGGGCCGCTAACGAAGCCGTTGGGACACCGAATGAGAAGGGCCCTGACCCTGACCCTACCCCATGCCGCAGAGGGACGATGGTGTGATGGCGTCGTGTCGGTAACGGGTTCTGTGGTTGTTTTGTTACTACTCGCACACATATGAAAAGGGATCTCCTGCCCATTGAGAGAAGATAAATAGCTGGAGCAGCCTCTTGGCAAAGGTCAAAATACAATAAGCGCCAACAGCTTTAAGCCAATTTAAGCCCTGTGGTGTAAAAAAGCAGCAAGGAGGGCAGTAAATGGGGGGAAAGCCTGGTAGGAAACAGAGGCAGCACCCGCAAGGACCCTGTTCCAGCCAGCACTGCGAAGGCGCCATCCTGAGCAGAGCCCTACGATGCTGAAACTAGAGTCGGAGGCAGAACCAGGGAAGCTGCCCAGAGAAGATCTGTGAACCGGCAGCCGAGCAAAATGCTTTGTCCAGTCCAAGCCGAATCCTGAGAGAGGGACAGTGGTCCTGGCCTTACAGCACCTCCTCTCCCACCTGCGGGAGGCCGGTGCTCAGCCGCTGTGTGGGACCAGCCCCGTTCCTCATCGTCAGGGCTTCTGTTGCAAAGCGAGCTGCATTCTCCGGAAACAGAAACCTCAGTGGGCAGTTACAGTGAAAAACAATTCCTTTCTCCAGCTCATGTGTCCAATGAAAAGCGTTGCATGACATTTACAGTACATAGAAACAGAAAACAGAGCGAGTCAGAAGGGGCATCCTGGGCCATCTAGTCTGACCTCTGGCACCAGACCACATGTTGTCTCCGTCTCTTCCTAGGCAAACCTGATGACCCCAGTGGCGTTGCCTCACAGGACATCAGGCTGAGACACGCTTGCCGTGAAAGGAGGATCTCCCCTTCCAGGAAAACTGCAGGGGTGACGTCAGGAGGGCTGACGCGAGGAATGAATGGAGGCTGGTGAGGGGAGCGTGGTCACAAAGGCCTCTTCAAATACTTCCAGAGCAAAAGACGCATGAAAGAAAAGGAGCTGGCAAGAGCCGAGATAAGAGCTGGCAAGGAGAAGGCAGAAGTGCTCAACTCCTGCCTTGGCTCAATCTTCTCCCGGAAGAGGAACTCCAACCCTCCTGACGAAGGCGTAGCACAAGCTGAAGGGGAAGGACGGCAGCCCAAGACTGACAGGCAAAGTCAAGGATGTTCTAATTGGGCTACATGAGTTCAGACCTCCAGGGCCTGACGGACATCATCCCAGAGTCATAAAAGAGCGAGCGGAAGAACCCGTAGAACAACTATCTATCATCTTCGAGTACTTCAAGTGTTTTGGATGCTTCTGTCTTTTAAAAAAAAGTTTTATTATTATTTTCTACAAATTAAAAAAACCTAAAAACATCAATCATCAGAGACATCAGAACTGCTGGGTCAGGCCCCCCCCCCCATTTTTTTATAACAATCCATAGCCCTATTCAGATCTACGCATAGTCCCGTTTCTCTAGCCAATAGTAAAGAGTTCCAAGGTTGATAGAAATATGCATCCTCTTTCTCCTTCAGAGACAAAGTCAGCCTGTCCATTTCAGCCCAGTCCAGGATCTTTTTTAAAATCAGTTCATCAGAAGGTGGTTCTTCACTCCTCCAATGTGGGGCAAACACAATCCTTGCCGCAGTGATTACGTGTAGAACCAGATACGCTGCTTGCTTGTCGACATCAGGCACGATGCCTAACAGGAAAACTTCAGGTTCACACATTAAAGATTTTTGTAACATTTCCTCAAGCCATGTATGTATTTTAGCCCAGTATTTTTTTGCCTTATCACAAGTCCACCACATATGATAAAAAGTACCAGGTTTATGTTTGCATTTCCAACATCCATTTGACATATTTGAAAACATTTTTGCTAATCTATTTGGCGATAAATACCATCAATAAAACAATTAAGATTTTCTTTATATGAGGTTGCTAAGGTTACCTTAATGTTTCTTTCCCACAACTTGGGGTGCTTCTGTCAATGCTGCCCAAACTAGCATTTGCCCTTTTAGCAGCTGCATCACGATGTTGGCTCATGTTCAGCTTGCGATCTGCAACAACCCCAAGGTCCTGCTCATTTGCCGTCTTGTGGAGCAATGCACTTGGCTGCTTCTTCCTATCGACTCGGCACTTGTCCCTACTGCATTTCATTCTGTTGTTTCCTGCCCAGTGTTCTGACCTATCAAGATCACCCGTTATCTCGCCTGTGTCTTCTACGTATTCGCTATTCCACGTATCTGCAAATTTAATTATCTTTTCTTGTGCCTCCTCATCTGAATCATTCATAAAAATGCTGCAGAGAGCTGGTCCTGGAGACAAACTCTCTATTCTGTGATTCGGCTTGGGCTGGCGCATTCTCCCTCCCCGGGGACCATCCCTGCCAGAAGAGTCACTCTGCCAGCTCAGGCCAGGGGCCCGCCTAGTCCAGGGTCTGGCTTCCAACTCTGGCCAAGGCAGGGAAGGAAACAGCCTCTGCTCCCCGCCCTCACGGCTCCCCTGCAGCCACGGCCGCGCGGCACTTCCCCGCCATGGCGCAGACGAGCTTCCCACGGTGCAGCGACCTGCCAAGCCCCCTTGGCCCAGCTGCAGCCAGAGGTGAGCTCAAGCAGCACCGGTCCATGAGCCCTTCTGGCTATGCACGGAGCCACACCGGCCTCTGCCACACGGGGCACGGGTCTCACTAGGCAGGCGAGGGGCCCTTGCTCCGAGCGTGGCACCTGACCCTGTGGCGGGCCCTGCCCCCCCCAACCCCTTTCTGCACAGCCTCCTCAGCAAAGCCACGCTCTCGGGAAGCGCTGTGCGCGCAGGATCTCTGCACTCATCCTGCAGGCTTCCCCAGCTGGGCCCCAGGCGCCTGCTGGAAGCACCAACACGGGTGGTCCCCGCCAGCCGCGTTCAGGACCTGGCTGGACTGGTAGAAGGCTGCGCGGTGAAGGGCCGAGCGGTGAGTCTCAGCGCGCCCAGGCTCAGTCCCACCATGAGCCTGGGCTGGGTCTCTCGGCCCAAGCCCTCAGTCCCCTAGCAGTGAGACGGGGTGACAGCCCTGGATTGCCTTCTGGGGGCGCGTGGAGGGTCCCCAAAATAGCGTGTGAGAAGAATACGTGCTGCAGAAGAGGTCGTGCAGTCAGGCTTCCGTTCCCAGAAGCTCTGATTTGTTTTGCCCTCAGCACATCTAGTCATTCGAACGATCCAGATAACGGGACTTTCCTCCCATTAGCCAAGCCTAACACTCGACCCGCAGGCCCCAGTTTTGCTGGCTTCTCCTCAGGCATTCTTAAAAGCAAAAAAAACGTCCAGACCGACGATTTTCCGGTCCCCTGCTGGAGCGAGTTGTTTTCGTGGCCAGCGGCCTGTTTTGACTAGCAGGTCAACCAGTTCGCACTGAGGCATTTCAGAACTCTTCACTGTCCATCTGAGCGGAGGGATCTGCCCGTGTTTCTTTGCCCGGTGTCCCAAGAAGCACGGGTGCCTGAAAGCTTGAAGGGGCCATCACCCAGCCTGCTCCCAGAGCTGAAGGGATCCAGGGCCCAGGTGCCCCTCTCCCCTTCCGCTGGGGATGCTCCGTCCATCCCTCCTCTTGCCAAAGGAAAGCCATACGGGAAGAGGCGGCGGGCCCTGGGCAGGGCTGCGGTGCGGCGGTGCAGCCCCTGCTTTGCGTGCAGAGCGTTCCCGGCTCAGTCCCCGCGGCCAGAAGCGCTGGGGAGCCGCTCCTCGCTTCCAGGAAGCACGGATCCCGCTGGGCCAGGAGGGGCCCGTGGCTGATGCTGCACTCCGGGTGGGCTGCCGTCTGGATGGAAGGAAGAAGCACCTGCTGGCACCTCACCTCTGTCCGAGGGGGTTCTTCGACTGTTCTTCCAGGGGAGCGCAGTTCCCTCAGCCAGGTGCTTTCTCTGACATCTTCTGCAGGAAAACGGACGCAAGGTTTTCACCCAGCTTTTCTGTAGTCTCCTTCTTCTCCTTCAGGAAAGTTTCACTCCTCTGTTGTCTAATGATCTAACCACCTTCTGGCTGTTTCCTGCTTCTGATGCCTTCAAGGAAATCATTATTTGGGCCAAGGCCTCCAGCAGGTGCTTCTTAGGCCCTCGCCTGGGATTGCCATGCCTTGCCAGCGATTTCCAGGGGGTTGGCCAGGCTTTGGGCTCGTTTTTGTTCTGCACTGGGCAAGATGCCAGCATGGAAAGGAAGCCTTCGGGCTCCCGGACAGCGCTCCTCCGGCACACTGGCCGTTCCCTGGATGCTGCGGCTTTCCTGACCTGCGGTGCGCCCTCTTCGAGACCAGCGTCCCTCATCTTGCGCTCTGACCGATCGCCGGGTCGGGGCCAGCTCTGCCACAGCAAAGGGCAGCACAACCTGGTCTGGCTGGAACGTTTTGTTCAAGGAAGTTTAGCTGATCACCTCTCTCGGGGGACGGGGGAAATACTTCCTCTAAACGTGACCGTGTTGGATTTTCAGGGCATTGCACCCTTTCCATGTTGAATCTGAGAGCACCGTGGCCACAACTGCGGTGCGGCTCCGTCGCCACATCTCGCGCCACCCAGTGGAGGTCCAGAGCCCTCCCAGTCGCGCCCAGTCGCGCCCAGTCCCACCCCTCGCAGCTCCGCATTAGCCCGGAGAGCCCCTTCACCCGGCATGCGCAGAGTCACGCTTCCCAGCACGGGAAAAACACCAGCGAGCCCCCAAGCCGGATGCCAGGGGTGCCGTTTGAACTGCAAGGCCAGGCCCTCGTTGACGCTCGTGCCCTGCCACTTCCAGCATCAGGCAGCTGACACGGGGCGAGCCAGAAGTGCGGGACGAGGCGGCCGAGAAGTCTCCAGCGCAACACGCTGCCTGGAGCGCGCAGGGAACTGCAAGGAGGCCCCGCTGGCCAAGCTCCGCGCGCATCGCCCCCCTGCCTCAGCGCCCTCGAGGGCCACCCTTCTTGCGGGGCGCACACACACACATGATGCGCGGCCACTAGGGGCACACTCCAGTTTCCGAAAGTGAGATGGAGCGGGTGCTCCCTGAGGCATTGTTCTCCATTGTTTTCCCTGAGGCTTTGCTCTTGCGCCAGGGAAGAACTGATTTCTCACAGCCAGATCGGTGCACTGCTGGGCTCCCGTCCTGGAAGGAAGAGATCAGATGTGGGAAAATAAGGAGGCTGGACGGAGTGGGGAAGAGGAGGGGGCCAGTGTCTGTTCTGGAGCGTCTCTGCATGAACCTGCTGCCCTGTCCATCGGCCTGCGGGCGGCTTGTGCAGCGTGGCCTTCCCAGCACCTCCAGGAGGGGCCTTGGCTGCCTTGGAAGGGCCAGGCATGGTGTGGCCGGGTGCGGAGACGATGCCCGCAGACCAGCACCCCCTGATCCTGCCCTGCTCGGTCCTGCTGCCTCCTGAGGGCTCAGAGGCGGAGCACAGATCTGTACTCCCCAGGCCCAGAACTGGCAAAGTAAAGCATTGCCTGCATTTTGTGGGAGGGGACCTCCGGGTGTAAGCAGCTCATGGCAGGCAGAGGAGTGGGCTCAGTGCCCGTGGCAAGCATCCATCCGAGGCCTCCAGACAAAGGACCCCGCGAGGCCTCGGTGCTGCTCCGCATTGCCTTGGGCCGGTTCCGCCTGCAGCCAACGTGACAGCAACCCAGCGGAGCAGGAGCCTGCTCTGCCCCGCCCTCCGCCTGCCGCAGCGGCTCCACGCACGGCGTGCGTTTGCGCTACGCAAAGGCAGGCGGAACCTCGGGAGAGCCAAGTCCGCATCTCCGCTGCACAATTCATCCCAGGGGACAGGAAGGGGAAGATCTTCCCGGAAGGGCAAACGCAGCCTCACCTGTGTTGCAAAATGCTCGGTGAGGTTTTCACAGTATTGGCCACGAGGCCCCTGGGCTTGGGAGCCAGGACTGCAGCCGCTCCCACCAGCCTCCTCTTCTTCCTGTGTGCATGGGAGCCAGATGGGGAAGGCTGAGGATCTGGTGCCCGACCTTTTCTATCGGTTGCTGTTGTCGCCTGCTTCGCGGCAGCATGTCTGTGCCCGGCGGAGGAAGGGGGACGCGCCACCCACCCATTTGAGCACGGCCTGCCCTTTCTGGAGTACCATTTCATGCATCTGCCCTAGCTCTTCACTCACATATACGAGCAGGAATCCCTCACCAGGACCACTGACGTTTAGACCTATTTGGCGCTGCAGGCAGAGCACGGGCCGGGCCGGACCGGGAGTCCCATCCACTGCCACGGCCGGGCAGGCAGCTGCTCCACGCTCGGCCTCGCGTGGGCTCCACCCTCCTCAACCCTTCAGCCCCTTTCCTGGCCGCAGGATGTTTTCAGGGCTATTCCGTATGGAGAAGGGCAGGTGAGGGATCGCCAAGCAGCAGCAGGAGCCGTCCAAGGCGATGGGAGCGTCTTGGCCACAAGCAGAGAAATGCCCCGCTCCCTGTGCCTCTGCCCCACGGCTGAGCCATCCGTGCAGGTGGTGCCGCTGCCAAGGGGATGGGGCTCGCCTTTGAAGCAGGGGCTGGAGGCCGCTGGGATTGATCTGGGGCTGCTTACTCCCAGGGAGTGCTGGACTGCATCGGGGACTTTCCTTGGGCAGGACTGTCACTGCTGCCCCAGGGTAAGTGGGGGCCCAGTATGGTTGGGACCCATGAGCGAAGGTCCCATTCCTATGCAGCCATCCAGGAATTTCTCTGCAGCCTCCCCCGCCCCCGCCGCCCCCGCGCATTCCTGCCTGTTCCCCTTGCCAAAATGGAAGGTCCAGGTGCATCTGAGTTGCCCATGAATTGGCTGGCCCCAAACCCGAAGCACCGGCTACACATGAACAGTCCTCTCCCATCACCACGCAACATCCCAGCAGCTCTTCTCACTGGACCGTATACCAAGCTGGGACTGGGTTTGCTTCCACCCCTGTTGTGGGAGGGTCCCATTATAGGGGCAGTTGGGGGCACCACTTTGTAAGGGAAAGTTGCCCCTCCAGATCCAACAGCTGGTTTGATTTCAGCTTTCCCGGATCTGCTCTACCAGAGGGCTGAGATGCTGTGCTCCTGCCCTGAGTTTCCACACCTGGTTGTCACTGTGACTGAGAGCAGCAGGAGGATGTCCAGCCAGGTCTCACTGCTCCAGCCTCCCCTGCAGACGGCAGGCGCTCCCTTCCTCCAGGGTGCAACCCCGTCAAAAACACAGAGTGCACTCTGGCACCCCCTCCGCGGGGCCTTGAGGTGTGTGCCTGCCACCCGAGGCGCTTCCCTTCGCAACAAGGCCAGGACTGCGCGCATGCACTGCAGAGGCGGCCGGGGCCGGCGGGGGCCCTCCCTTCGGGGAGCAGGTGGAGCAGCGGCTCGGCAGCGGCCCGGCCTGCACACAGAAAGCTGACAAAGCCACGGGCAGGAGCAAGCAGGAAGCCCACTGGCTGGGTAATTATAGAAGGGCTCCTTTTATACCCCGCCTCGCTGGGACAGGAAGGAAGCGAGCAGGAGAGGCTGACGTCACCCCCCCCCCCCGCGTGTGAATCGGCCTTGGATGAGGAGGCATGGGGCTGCCGCCTTGTTTGCGTGAGGCTTGAACGAAACCGCAGCTTCCCCTCCACGGGCACGGCAGCTTCTGCCCTCTTGGAAGGCCGAGCGAGCTCTTGGCACGAGCTGCCTTTGGCAGTCGGCGGAGCCTGGGCAGCCCCAGCCCCCCGGGGGCCAAAGGGGCCTGGACGAAGGACGCCGGGGGACAGCGCTCTCCTAGCACCTTGGAGCACCTTGGATGTGCCGGACGAGGAGAGCCGCCCCCAGCACCAGGCGGCCCCTCGGCCGGCTGCCGTCCCCACTCGCGCCTGTGCCCCGTGGCGGTGACTGGTGCAGCGAGGGAAGCCACACGCTCGCCCCGCCTCCTTCAGTCTGCCGATGCCCCGAAAGCAGAAGCTGCGGCTGGATCAGTCTGTTCCTTGCAGCTTCCGCATCGGAGGTGCCCCAAACCGCAGGCGGGCTGGGGCTGTGTTGGCCCGGAGCTGCCCCACGCTGCCACTGGGCCGCCAAAGGCCAGTGGTGCGCTGCTGCGGGGGCTCTCCCGGGGGGCTCGCGGGTGCCCACTGCCCAGACCAACTGAAGGAGAAGGCCCTCTCTCGCCACTCCGGACGCAACGAGCCGGCAGGGCAGACAACCCCACGGCCAGCCATAGCCGGAAAGCTGCCATGCAGACGTGCGTCTGAGTGGAAAGGCAAGGCAGCACTTTAATAAGCAAACGTATAAATAGATAAAATGCATCCCGATGGCAAGCAGGGTCCCCGGGATGTTTTCTCTGCGCAAGCCCAACATCCAGCACCCCAAGAAGAGCCCGGGTCCATTTTCACTTTTACTTGTTTATACACAAGCTGCTAGCCCTCGAGGCCAGAGACATAGCTGAAAACTTGTGAGCACTGAAAGAATTCCCAGAAGAGACAAGAGGGCTGCTCCGAGAGCCTTTGCCCTACAACCCCTCCCGTACCCACCCCTCCCACTGATCCCCAAGAGCACTCCAAATTTGTTTTCAGTTAAAGACCCAAGAGGAAAGCATGTTAGAAGCAGAATGAAGTTGGTAAAACTGTTTAGAAGATATGCACAAACACTGCTCCTAATTCGCACAAACAGGGTTGCAGGCTGCCCTGGAATCGCCACGAGGGCCCCCTGCGGTTCAGTTACAGCACGACTCGCGGCCCCCCGAAAACGCCCGCTGGGCAGGCGGTGGCTGTCGATGGCGATGAGTCCTCGTGGGGTGGCCGGGCCGGGAGGGCGCTGCTGGGCTCTGCCCAGCCTGCGTGGGCTTTGGCCTGGTCCAGCTCCACAGCTCTTCCGGCGGGCCAAAGCCGCTGCAGAGGGCAGGCCGGGGCTGCACGCAGGCCCCCTCCACGCAGCCCTCCCGCGGGGCCCGCAGCACGTCCTGGCGCCGCTCCTGCAAGCCCTCCTGCAGACGGGCAGGTGCGGAAGGTAAGGGAAGGGAAGGGAAGGGAAGGGCCTCCCTCGCAAAGGTGTCGGCTGGGGGAGAGCCCCCCCCCAGAAGGACGCTGTGCTGTGGGGGCGGTGGGAGCAGGGAGGCCGCCCTGCCGCCTGGGGAGGAGGAAGGGCACCAGCGCCGTGCGTGGCGGTTATGTAACTCGAACGCGATGTTCTCCTGCGAGAGGCCTTATCTGCTAACCGCAGGGACGCCTTGGAGCGGGCGGCCGCTTGTGCTGGCTTTTCGGAGCGCACGGCTCGCGAGGGCCTGCCTTTCCAAGCCGCTCTCGAGGCGAGGCAGGCGGAGGCCAGGCGCGGGCGACTCCTCTGGCCCAGCCAGGCCACTGGCTTCCCGTGGCCGAGAGCAGGAGCGGGCGCGGATGGCGGCCGCGCCCCCCTCTCCCGCCTCAGGCGTGCGTGCCGTCCCTCGGCCGCTCTGACCCTGCAGCGCCCCGTGGCTCCTGCGACGCCGGCGCTGGGCTGCGCGAAGGCCTCCTGCAGGAGCTTTCGACTTACTGCATGTCACGTTTTGCGGGGGGGGGGGGGGCGCCAGGGCCGTCTGAACGCCTGGGCCTGATGGGCCCTTGCCCGTGGGCCCCGTACTAATCTGTGTCTGTTAACCCTTGGAAAATGGGGAAACTTCCAAAATTAGCAGGAGTTGCGGTAGAAGCCCCAGTGCTCTGCTTAGCCCGGGGCCCATGATGCTGTTCCGACGGCCCTGGGAGTCGCTCCGCCCTCGGTGGCTTCTCCTTTCAGCGGGCCCAGCAGGCAAGGCAACGAGAAGCGCAGCCAAGCTAGCAGGGTCGCGGCGTGCGGTGCAGCAGAGGGCCAAAGCACAGCCAGGCGCCCTGCACGGGTGGCGCTGGGGCACAAGGCCCCCGGGCTCCTTCTGCAGCGCAGCGAGGGTGGGGAGGCGGGGGAGGCCTTGCCTCTGGAAGAACCCCCTTTGGATCGCAGAAGAGCAGGGCCCCTCGGGGCAGGACGCCAAGCCACAGCACCCAGGCGGATGGTGTCCTCTCTCTCCCCCTTCTGGAAGGACCACGGCGGTTGGGTGTCCTTCCCACTTCGAGCCGGATATCTCTGATGCCGTCCATGGCTAATGCGAGATACAATTCCAAGCGCTTTTGCACAGGGGGAGGGACTTGGGGGCATTTGCATCAGGGGCTGCAGAATTCAGCGGGGCTGGGAGCTGCCCGTGCGCCATTCCCCATTCCAAGCACTCCAGACTGCTGTGCTGCTCTGCTTGCACCACTGGGAAACATGTTGTTAGTCACGAAGTCGTGTCCAACCCATCGCGACCCCATGGACAACACTCCTCCAGGCCTTCCTGTCCTCCACCATCCCCTGGGGTCCACCTAAGCTCACGCCGACTGCCCCAATGACCCCATCCAGCCACCTCATCCTCTGCCTTCCCCTTCTCCTTTTGCCATCTATTGTTCCCAGCATTAGGCTCTTCTCCAGGGTGTCTTTAGGTGTATCTTTCTCTTTCTCCCTTGCCTTTCGCTTCCCTTCTTTCCTCAGCTATTTGTAAAGCTTCCTCAGACAGCCATTTTGCTTTCTTGCATTTCTTTTTCTTTGGGATGGTTTTAGTTGCTACCTCTTGTACAATGTTGCAAACCTCCGTCCATAGTTCTTCAGGCACTCTGTCTGTCAGATCTAATTCCTTAAATCTATTTGTCACCTCTACTGTATATTCATCAGGGATATGATTTAGGTCATCCCTGAGTGGCCTAGTGCTTTTCCCTACTTTCTTCAATTTAAGCCTAAATTTTGCAACAAGAAGCTCATAATCTGAGCCACAGTCAGCTCCTGGTCTAGTTTTTACTGACTGTATAGAGCTTCTCCATCTTTGGATGCAGAGTACATAGTCAATCTGATTTCTGTGTTGACCGTCTGGTGATGGCCATGTGTAGAGTTGTCTCTTGGGTTGTTGGAAAAGAGAGTTTGCTATGACCATCGTATTCTCTTGACCAAATTCTACCAGCCTGTGCCCTGCTTCATTTTGTACTCCAAGGCCAAACTTGCCTGTTATTCCAGTTATTTTTTGGCTTCCTACTTTAGCATTCCAATCCCCCATGATGATAACAACATTTTTTTGGAGTTAATTCTAGAAGGTGTTGTAGGCCTTCATAGGACTGGTCAACTTCAGCCTCTTCAGCACCAGTGGTTGCGGCATAGACTTGGACTACTGTGATGTTGGTTTGCCTTGGATTCGAACTGAGATCATTCTGTCATTTTGGAGATTGCATCCCAGTACTGCTTTTCCTACTCTTTTATTGACTATGAAGGGTACTCCATTTCCTCTGAGGGATTCTTGCCCGCAGAAGTATACCTGATGGTCATCTGAATTAAACTCACCCATTCCTGTCCATTTTAGTTCACTGATTCCTAAGATGTCAATGTTCAGTCTTGTCATCTCTTGTTTGACCACATCCAGCTTGCCTTGATTCATGA